TCTCTGTTATTTTTTTTAGCAAAATATTTCTCACTATACTTTACTTCTTCGAATTTCGACCATATAATTCTTTAGTTTTATAATCCAAAACTATTTAAATGATATATTAAGTTATCAGGTCTTGATAACCCACGGTTTATTTTTTTTATTTTTTTTATTTTTAGGATTTGATAACTCATGGTATTCAACTTGATATTAAGATTTTTTCTTTCCACGATTTTCAAATTTCAACCAACGGAGTTAACTCCAAATAAAATAAAGAAAAAAAGAAAAACAGCAGAGCGTAGCCCAGCGTACTGGGTACCCTTCCCATTCCCCCTTCCTTCCCGACACCACCATTCACCGCAACTCCCTCACGGACCACCACCACTTCAAGCACAGCGGCAGCATCTCCCTTGATGACGTCATCAAGATCGCCAAGGTTATGAGGAACAGATCCTTGGCCGAAGGAGCTCGTGGGAACGGTGAAGGAGATTCTCGGAACCTGCGACCCGATGGGCTGCACGGTCAACGGCAAGGACCCCAAGGATTTGCAATAGGAGATCGTCGATGGTGACGTCGAGATCACTCTCGACCGACAAGGGTGTAAATTGAACGAATTTTGCACCAAAAGGGATTTAAATTTAGTAGAGTCCCTTTGAAGGAGCAATTAAATTGAAGGGCGAGGCTTTTGGGTTTTGATTTATGGATTTAAAGTGTGAAGGAGATGCAATTGATATTGCTGCTGTTGTGTTTCAGGAAGTGAGAGAGAGAGAGGAGGACGAGCGGCTTCTTTTTCTTAACTTTTGCTTTTATTTTTATTTAATTTTATTGGGAGTTGATAGAGTTATGTTAGTGTTAAGTTTGTGGACAGTATCAAGTATTGAGACGTGTCATACAGAGACACATTTTTTTTTTTTTTTTGTTTATCAAAAGGCCGCACTTATTTTTAAAAAATTTGAACCAAACTCTAATTATTGGGAGAATTCACCACTTACCACTAAAGATCTTTCACAATAATGTGTTTTTTTGTATCAATTTAAAAATATAATTTTGGCCATTTATTTCTCTTTTTCAGTTAGATTTTTACTCCAATTTGTTCTTTGCTAATTAATGAAAGTACAAGGACATACATCTGTCTAGTGGCCTAGTAGCTTAGTAGCTTACTTTTTAAATAGTGAACGGATCCCTTCTTGAGAAAATCACACGGGTCGTTGGATTTTGATCCAACAGCTGCAAACAGGAGATCCTCTAAAAGTTATAATAATTGTACCTGTTGGATCAAAATTCAACGATCTGTGTGATTTCCTCAAAAGGCTTCGCCTCCTACGCTCAGGAGGGGATCCGTTCCCTTTTAAATAGATGACATTTACTTTATATCTACACATTTGGAATGTATACGGCTAACAACAATGTAAATTGTAATTTTCTAAAATAAACATGAATTTTGTTATGTGCTATGCAGGTTATGATGCCCAACTTAACAACCTTGACTGTGTATCAATGCGATAGTTTAAGATTTTTGTTTTCGAGTTCCATGGCTAAATCTCTCAGACAACTCAAAAATCTCAAGATATCTAATTGTCAAATTATGGAAGAGATAGTGGGAAATGAGGAGAATACAAATTACATGTTTGATAAGCTAAGCCGTCTAGAGCTACAACATCTTCCAAGCCTTTCTAGATTCAGCTCAGGAAGTTACATTAAATTTCCATCTTTGGTGTTTTTGGATCTAGACGATTGTACTAAACTGGAGACATTCATCTTTGATGCCAAGAGTGAAAATATTACAACCAACAAAGAAGAAAGAGATATTGAGCTCTTTGATGAAAAGGTGAATTATAACTTCACTTCTTTTCTTTATGCTTTCATTTCCAACTTATGCATGCGTCCCACTCTTTCTAAAATGAATATGTGACAGGTAGAATTTCCTAGCTTGGAGATATTGTGGATACAGGACTTACCTAAATTGAAGACAATATTCCACAACCAACTACATTCAGATTCTTTTGGCAAGCTCAGAATTATGGATGTTAGTAGGTGCCACAATTTGATTAATATCTTTGGGCCAAGTATCATGGGAAGATTGAATGCTCTAGAGTCCTTATATATAAAGCAATGCCAATCACTACAAGTAGTATATGACTCATCATCTACCACTCAGTTGAACGGTTTTGATTGCCCAAATCTAAATTTAGTTGAGATATCCTCATGTGAGAGTTTGAAGAATTTATTTCCCGTCTCAGTAGCCAAAAATCTTAAGCAGCTAAGGAAGTTCAAGGTCGAGAATTGTGGTTTAATGGAGGAAATTGTCACGATGGAAGAAGGACCAAAAAGGACACATGAGGAGTTCAGGTTCCCTAAAGTAGAAATAGTGATATTTGAAAATCTACCCCGGCTTCGGAGTTTCTATCATGGACTGCATGTCTCTAATTGGCCATTACTCAACGAATTAAATTTCGAACAATGTAGTAGTGTGGAGATTTTTGCTTCCGAATTTTCAACATATCAAGACAAGCTTGACTTGAGCCACCCAAGACCAATGAAACAACCTTTCTTTTTAATTGAGAAGGTAAACATTCTTGTACACAATGTTTTTTTTTTTTTTTAATTTTTTTTGTTTAAATTTATGAACGAAATGTTATGTGCTTTTTACATAACTAGTTTTCTTTGGAAAAGTAAGACCACCTCCAACCGAAAGGTCCAAAGGGCCAGAGGGCTGAAAATAGCCCGAAAACCGTCTCCAACCGAGAGTTAGGCCAAAGGGCTCGTGGGCTCCACTGGACAAAAAATGGCCAAAGGGCCAACCGGCTGGCCCAACTAAGCCATATGGCCCTTGGTTGGAGATGGAGGCAAATACGACCTTATACTGTTCATTAAAATATTAATATCTTGGAGGGCCAGAGGGCTAAAACGAGTCATTTGGCCTTCGTTCGGTTGGAGATGGGGGAGTGAGCTAAGCCTCACAATGGATTAGCAATAATGTGGTTTAAATTCGCCTTTAGCGAGAATCGAACATATTACCTCTCACTTACTAGTGAAGGAATACCACTATACCGTAGTACTAAGTGACCCTTGTTAAGTTTTTAATATTAAAGTTATTATGTGTTATCCAGTTTTTTCAAAATAATTTAAAGCATGCCATTACCGTTGACAATATTTCAGGGCAAGTCATTTCTCAACTTGGAAAAGTTGATGTTGGACAAGAACACGGAGATTTGGTATGAACCATATGGTCCACTCCTAGCAGAGTTGTTGAGCAAAGTAAAGTCAATTTATTTTGCTACTTCACATCCCAAGTCAGATGTTTTCTTTGAGAATTTACAGAATATTGAACGTCTCCGTGTGCTTTCTGCTCCTTGGAAAGAATTATTTGTCCACGACCACCAAGGAAGTGGTAGCAGGGAAATACATGAAGTTGAGACCCTCCCACGTGTAAAGACTTTGTGGCTCATCGATATGCCGGAGCTGATACATCTAGGGATGGAAAACTCCCAAGCAGGGGGCCGTGTTTTTCCAAACTTGGAAGTTCTATGCGTGAACAATTGTGGCAGATTAGAGAATCTAGCTTCATCCTTGATATCCTTTCGGAATCTAACCACTTTCACCATAGGGGATTGTCACGGACTGCAATACTTAATACCTTATTCTGTGGCTAAGAATTTACAGCAACTCAAGAACTTGGAAGTTGAGTCCTGTCAAAGAATGGTAGAAATAGTAGCGAGCAAGGAAGATGATCCAGAAAATGAGATTACTTTCAGTTGCTTGCAGCATTTGAAGCTTTCTGGCCTACCAAGTCTGCAAGGCTTTTGCACGGGAAATTGCATTTTCAAAGTCCCATCCTTAGAAAATTTGATTGTCGAGGATTGCCAGCTGATCGATATAAAGATTTCTTCTGATGGGTTACTCCAAAGTGATCTAACACCAGAAAGACTACATGTAACAGAAGAAACTGATGATGTACTGATGCTAAGTTATTCAAGGGAGACTGATCGTGATCAAACTGTAAGTACTTCATTCACTAATTAAACAACTATTTATTTCACTTTCCAATTTTTCAGCTTTTTCTGAACCTTGAACCGTAACATTTAAAAGTCTGATTTATTCATCTTATTCATTGTTGTTCAGTCAGATTTCATACTGAACAATTTATGTGTTTATTTCGTCAACGAAATATATATTTCTACAGGAGCAGCCGATGATTGCAGATTCACATGTGGATGTTAAAATTGTAGGACTCTCTTCCAAAGAGGAATCCTCATCTTTTGCCTGGCGTGTTAACGTTTTCCGATTGTGTGCGATTGCGTGTTTGTTCGTTATTTTCCTCTTCCTTTTGTTTTTCCTTTTCAAGGAAGAAATATTAGCCTGGAGAGCAGACTGGAAGGCACTCTGATTTTCCTTGTTACTTGCTCTAACTAATCTCTGTGCAATTTGAGAAGGCACTGAATCATATTCCACGACATGTTGCTTGTATTGACTTGTGTGTTTCATCGTAATAGTGTGATTTGTAATTTGAGCTTTATTCGCTACATTTTCGGTTTTGGTGTTTGGGAAATAATGCTTGTGTGATTTCTGTAAACATTGATGCATTTGAAGTGGTGAAGAATTATAAATATTGTATGTGTTAGAATAATGGACTAAACCAGAAATACGCATAAAGGCTTGATGAATATTTAATTTGATTCAATTCATTTCAAATAGGAACCAAACCAAAACTGCATATAAAAGCACACTAAATTACCAAATTTGAACAATTTTAAAAATCAATTATTTTGGTTACAAATATTCAATTCGATTCATTTCAATTAAGAACCAAACCAAAAATGCACATGAAAGGTCACTGAATTCCAAAATTTGAACAATTTGAGCAATTGGTTATCCTCAAAACAATTCAAAGAGCAATAATTCAGCATGAAAGCCGCAGACGAACAAAAGAAGGACATAAAATATGTGGGGGGTAAAAATACCCTCAGAAGCCATGGCAAAAACAGAGAATTTCTTCGGCTCTACAACAACAATCAACATAAATAGTCGATGTACCATTTTAAATGAAAGGAAGAGAGTAGTTTTACACAGTTACACGCACGGCAGCCCATACCAAATCTATTATCTATGAATCCTGCAAAACATCACGCAAACAATAAAAAGCCATCCTCACAGATGACAACAAACGAAACAGTAAGGAGACAGACTGGAACAAAACGTACAACAGGACAAATACAGATTAAGGGGAAAATAGCCAAGAACAAAAAGATGAGACTTTTCAAAGTCTACCAAGGACAAAATACACATTAGTGGCCAAATCCCTTAAGATATCGGTTTAATGTCTGGACTGCATGCAACATATTGACCCATCTCAAAATTCCCGTGAAGGGAAAATTTCATCGGAATAGGCGAACTCAGGAAGCTTCACTACCTTGACCTTGGTGAGAATTCCTTAAACTCTTCAATCGCTTTTGAGCTTGGTTTTTTTGTAACTGTCACCGGAGTAGTGTAGCTGATTCGCTTTGCAAGTTTCAAAGTGAAGAATAACAATCTAATAGGGTATTTGCCCGAGTGCTTGAGGAATTGTTGGGCATTGTCTTGAATCCGGTTTGATGGGAACCAACTTACCAGGAACAGTATAAACGCATTTGATGTTCATCCCAGTCTTGAAAGAAAAGGATTGACAGAGACAGCATACTTGAGTCTAGAGTGGAGTTGCAATCAATTGGATGAGGAGCTTAAGTATGATGGGCGCATTGAATAATCTGAATACCATGCTGATATGGCAATGACAGTCACTCAATTGGCATTTCAACTGAAATTTTTTGAGAAAACATCGACCTATCAGTTTCAGAAAATATCTTCATCAATGTAAAAGATCTTCCCTCACAGCATAATAACCACAACTTGCACGGCTGAAAAGCCAGCAACTTGTTAGGAGTAAGTTTTGCTTGCCCCTTTCTTATTATTACTACAATATGTTCGTAACCCTATACAAGGGGCTGCTTTCCTGCTCGCCCCTATCTCTAAGGGGGCTTATGCACACCCAGAATATGGGCCCAGAAATTGCAGAGGAGCTGGATTCGAAGCGGTGGCTGCTACAAGAATGGAATATTCCAAAGCATTCGCTTCTAAAAGAATTTGAAACCGATTGTGCCACAGTTGAGCGTTTCTCTCCAAATGCTACATAGTGTGTATGAATCGACATCAAATAGAGGAATTCGGTTTTTCTTTTCAGAGTAATGCAATGCAATGGAACAAATTTATCCAAGAAGCACGTAAATCAAGGCAATTTGCACAAAAGTAGTCGGCTCAAATTTTATCTCATTCTCAATGTAGTTCTTACCTCTTAATGTCCTTTTTCCTTCCACCTTTTCACCTGGTTCGGAACAAACAACACAAATTGAAATCATTTTTACATGACATAGTGATCGACTAGACCTAAAGGAACCCAATGAATGACGAAGTATCCAATTCAACAAACATAATTTATCTTCACAATTTACTTATTTACAACCTCAAATTCGATAACCCTCTCGCCAAAATAACAATTGCAAAACCTAACTGAACATTGATCCCGCGTAACTACTCCAAATTTCACAGTTCCGACCGGAATTACCGCCAAAACAACAATCAAATGCAGAAAAAGCAAGAACGAATCAAAATTTAGGAAAGGGAAGAAATACCCACATAAGCATTCAACTGCCTGACGAAGCTAGAGAATTTTCTGTGCTTGAAATACTTGGGCAGGATGTCCCTCGAGAACTCAGGGACGTTCCAGACGCCAAAGCTGTTGTTGCCGTTGCTCCAGGAGGGAGACAAAGGCGTCGGTGGAGGGGTCTTCCACCATATCGCAGATTTTGTTCACAAACTGCGGCGGCGGAGTGTTGGCGGAGTTGATCACCGATGCCGCGTCTTCGACTCCCGGGCCTCCATGGTTGTTTTTTTTTAATTTTGAGAGAGAGCCCGAGGGAATTAGTGAAGAGAATAACTAAAAAAAAAAGGTCGTACCCAGTGCACAAGGCTCCCGCTTTACGCAGGGTCTGGGAGAGGTGAATGTCGGCTAGCCTTACCCCCATTTATGGAGAGGCTGCTCCCAAGAAGAGAATAACTAATGAAAAGAAATTAAAAATTTTGAGTTTTAACTATAAGGACATAAAAAATGGTAAAGTGAATAGTATACGGTTTGACTTTTTAATATAAAAATGTGGTTTTTCGTTAAAGTGAACAGTATCGGAAGTTTTTCGTTAAAGTTCCCCATATTTTATTTATCTATTATATATTTTGGTCCTACAATGAGTATCAAGAAACTCACCATGGCTATAATCAAAATGACACTTTGGTAAATCTTTCAACTATAAAGATTAAGAGTAATCACTTTGATCATAGATTGAATTACAAAGTTTAAACATTAATCGTTGTATAGTCGAGTCCAATAATTAAAATACAAATGTAGGGTATCACACCAAATGTTGCATATGTGAGATTTGAAAATCTACCAGAACATAGGAGTTTTTCTCCTGTCCTGCATGTTTCCAAGTGGCTATTACTAAAGCAACTAAATTTCATCGAATGTGGTAATATAGAGATTTTTGCTTTTGAAATTTCAAGATTCCACGAAAAGCTTGATCAGTTGAGCCTCTATACACCAGTCAAACTACCTTTCTATTTTGTTGACAGGGAAAGATGCTTGTACACAATTTTCTTAAGCGAAATTCCCTTCAATACATTTTCTTTGAAAAAACTAATTTTATAAAAAAAAATTCATTAAAAGGATTATTTGTCCTCTTTTTCAAAAGTTTCAAGGCATCTCGGTTGAATGCAAACGGTAGATTGAGGTTGAAAAGAGCATTTATAATTCGCCAATAATTGTGTTAAAAATAACAAAAATATGATTAGTCTCTTGGAGATGTTCGTACCAACCTAACAAGTTTGTTGGCATATATCCTTCAATATAGGCGTGTTGTGCATTTACAATTGTAGGGCTTACTGTTATTAGAGAGATGACAGTTCTATATGTATCCAAATATTATTTGGTATAGGCGTCTTATTTTTCAACTTCGTTGATTAAATATATGTTCCTTTTAAGAATTTGATTAAACATTTTTCTTACGATTTTATTAGAGGTATGTTTAATTGTATGATTATATTGGTACGTTTGATTACTTATAATATAGGTACATTTGATTTTATGTTACATTTTGTTTCGTGGACCACAACACAAATTTTCTATGAACCGTGTTGGTACCATATTATATTGGGTCTCGTTACTTAGGTTTCCAAACATTGAGCCCATGATTCATGTAAAAGGGGAGGAGCTCTTAGTCTATAAAAGGGTCTCCTCACCCTCACAATGAAGAGGTCTTATCCTCACATACAAAAGCAACAAGGCTCACAAAATAGAGAAACTCTCTCAAACTCTCTCTTTCTCTGGGGGACTCCCCCTCACACTTGTAATCCATACATACAGTTACAGAGAAATACGATCAACATCAGTGTAGACGTAGCCCAAACATTGGGGTGAACCACGATACATCTTGTGTTCTTTACTTTCTTGCAGATTCACGGTCAAATTTACGTTGTTCCAAGACCTTCCGATTTTGTGCATCAACATTTGACGCCATCTGTGGGAATCGACATGAAAAGCTACGTTGGTTCTCTTTCATTTTTTTCATCTCACCACTGTGAATCTGTACAACCCAAGAACCTAGAACATCCCTCCTTGGGCTTTTCTGAAAACCTCCACAACCCAATCCAACGGCTTTTGGCTCCTCTTACCTGACATACCACCAAATATCCGTACCTCCTCAACCAAACCCAGGAATGCCGCTAATCCCATTCTCTCTCTCTCTCTTTTGGTCTGCTCATAAAAGAGCCCCAAAGATTCTTTCTTTTTTACAGCAAGTTCGCAATGCTCCAACTGGTGACGATCAGCAACGATGCACTCCAGATCACGCCGGACAGCCGAAAACTTCACCCTCAACAACCGCTCAGTTCTGCCATTTCTGGCGAGGGCCTGGCATTCCTCATCGCGCCGGATATGACCATTCCGGTGACCAGTCACGGCCAATACCTCGGTTTGACCGACGCCACCACAGATGGCGATATCCCCCCACATTCTCCGATCGATCGATGCTGGCGGGATTTGATGGTGGCGATAAATGGGTTGCATCAGCTCCAAACGGGTGGCTGCCTCGGCGTCTCCTTGTTACGAGTACCTGGCCACCGTCGCCGGCAATGGCTCCGTCCTCCTCGAGCCCTCTTCGTCCTCCTTAAAAAAGAATAACTCCGCTTCCGCTGCCAGCAACAACAACAATGTTAGCCGATCCAAATCCAAACCAAAGTCCAAATCGAACTCTTCGGAATTTAATAAGAGTGGTAGCAAAAGGGAACCACAGAATCAGAATCATCGTCCGGGCGACGTGTCAGAGGATCGGAACGTCGTCGGCGGCAGAGAGTCGAAGAAGAGTAGGAAGGAGAATGAGGGGTCTTATCACAGCCATAATAGTCACAATGGCAGGAAAGGTAGTGCCTTTAGCTTCAGATTGGGTTTTTCAAGTCGTTCTTCTTTGAAGGGTGAGCAAGTCTTCGCCGGCTGGCCCTCTTAGCTCAGCGCCGCCGCCGGCGAGGCCATTTACGGGTGGATCCCCCTCAAAGCTGATGCTTATGAGAAGTTGGAAAATGACGAACTCTTTGGCAACAACTATGGAGCTTTGTGGCCCCGTGATGGCATGCCAGGGCTTTGTGCATGACCCCATGCCTATTTTTTTTTTCTGAAAAAAGCTACAGGAAAATGAGCAAGTGGGTGTATTTAAAGAGACTAATTTGTTGTTGATTTGAAGGTGGACGATATGGAAAAGCTAAAGATGTGTTTGCTGTAAAGCAGGCATGCAAATCTACAAAGATAAGACATCCACTATCCCACTAAAAAAAGAAAACCCACGGGATAACATGCAAAAGTATCCCACTGAACAAACACTCACGAGAAAGAGTCATAGCTTATTATATGTGCTTAGAAAATGGAGCAGGGTCAGAAAGGGATGAGTCAGAGAGGGGTGAGTTCTATTAGAGCGGGGAGATCAAGAAAAGAAAATGGGTGGTGTCGGAAAGGTTGTCCAAGCAGCTGTCACTTTAGAGAAATGAATATTGCCTTTTTACAGCTGGAGTATACTGACCTTTACAACCAACAAGCGGAAGAGGAAAAGCAACGAAGAAGAAGATAAGCTTTCTCAATAATAAGTCTATTATTATTCCTTTTGTCTACCATCCACCACAAAAAAAAAAAAAAAAAAAAACATGGGCAAAATGTCGGCAAGCCCAAAATAGTGGGCTGGAATGTTATGTGGAGGGCGAAGACCCATATGCCCAAAAGAGCCAAGCCCTATGACTTCAAACTCCAACCTCCATCCCTCCACTTAAGGTTCATCCTCTATTATCACCAACCAGGTGATCAAAAGTACGTCCAGTACTTCAAAATTATTCGACAGCATGCCGCTATTATCACCAACCAGGTGATCAAAAGTACATCCAATACTCCAAAATTATACATGAGCATCACTCATGTCAATCATACATAAACATTCATGAGCATCACTCATGTCAATCATAAATAAACATTCATGAGCATCACTCATGTCAACATCCATGAGCATCACTCATGTCAATCAACATAAACATTCATGAGCATCAATCATGTCAATCAGCTTCGAAAGCTTCATGTACAAAGCTCCAGCTTCGAAAGCTTCATTTACAAAGCTCTGACTTCAAAAACTTTATTTACAAAAGCTCCAGCTTCAAAGCTTCACCTACAAGCTTCAGTGCACGGTATACAAAGACTGCCCCCGAACAACCTCCACTTCGGCCCATACATGGATTGAATTTGAAATCTCCAGCCAACAGACTCTATTGACTGAAGACTTGGAGGACTACACTATGTACCAAATATTAGGCTTCCGCAACTGGGCCTCATGAAAAATACTCTTGGGGGACTTAGCCCATCATTTATGTATTGATGAGCGAACCCTTATTCTATAAAATGGACTCCCTCATTTTCATTAGAGAGCATCCATTATTCATGTATTGAAGAGCGAACCCTTATTTTATAAAAGGTACTTCCTTACCTTCATTAGATAGCATCGCCGCCAGCTGAGCAACCGCCTCACCGCGAGCATCACTCCTAACCCATCACTTATGTATTGATGAACGAGCTCTTATTCTATAAAAGGGACTCCATCACCATCATTAGAGAGCATCGTCGCTTGCTGAGCAACCGCCTCTCCGTGAACATCAACTCTAGCCCATCATTTATGTATTGAGGAGCAAGCCCTTATTCTAAAAAGGGACTCCCTCACCTTCAACGCCACAAGCCAAGCCAACCAAGGCAACATAAGCCACAAGCTGAGCGGCCTCGCAACATGTGCTACTTCTAGTTGAGCATCATTTCACATTGAGCACCGCCCCATATCAAGTATCAATTCTAGACGACAACTGGTTACTTCGGCCCACACATAGACTGAATTTCAAAGTCTCCAGCCAAAAGACTCTCTTGACTGATGACTTGGGGGACTACTGTTGGTATCATATTATATTGGGCCTCGTTACTTGGGCTTCCAGACATTGAACCCATGATTCATGTAAAAGGGGAGGAGTCTTTAGTCTATAAAAGGGTCTCCTCACCCTCACAATGAAGAGGTCTCATCCTCACATACAGAAGCCATAAGGCTCACAAATCAGAGAAACTCTCTCAAACTCTCTCTTTCTCTGTGGGACTCCCCCTCACACTTGTAATCCATACATACAGTTACAGAGAAATACGATCAACATCAGTGTGGACGTAGCCCAAACATTGGGTAAACCACGATACATCTTGTGTTCTTTACTTTCTTACAGATTCACGGTCGAATTTACGTTATTCCAAGACCTTCCGGTTTTGTGCATCAACAAACTGTATGGTCCATTGCCAGTGGACTTCTTTAGCAAACTACCATCTTTAACTTTTTCTCCGGCAGCACACCCCAGATATTTATTTTCCTTCAAAAATTACAAAAGCTTAAAACACTCTTTTTGTGTTCTGCACCTTGGAAATAAATATTTGCCCAGGAAGGAAATACTAGTTGGGAAATACAAGCAGTTGGGACCCTTCCACATGTAAAGACTTTGTGGCTCCGTGAAATGCCGGAGCTGATGCATCTAGGGAATGAGAACTCCTTTCTAGCCGATGATCCAGTTTTTCCGTACTTGAATGAGTTAAGCGTGTACTATTGTGGCCAATTAAAGAATCTAAGTCCATCGACAATATCCTTTTAAGAGTCTAATGCGTTTGAGCCTATGTCGAACATCTTTTTTCTTTTTGGTAAACAATTTTATAGGACAACAATAAGGTCAACAATGCTTTATGGCATGGAATGTTGGGCAGTGAAGCATTAACATGTACATAAAATAGGTGTAGCCGAGATGAGAATGTTTAGTTGGATATATGGGCACATAAGAAAGGATAAGATTAGGAATGAGGATATTAGAGGTAAAGTAGGAGTAGCCGAAATTGAAGGAAAGATGAGAGAAAATCAGTTATGGTGGTTTAAACATGTGAAACGAAAGCCTATTGACGCTCCAGTTATAATATGCGATTACGGGACAGAGGTTCAGGGCCAAAGGGATAAAGGAAGACTTTGGAAAAGACTCTAAGAAAAGACTGAAGAGTACTTGGATCTAACGGAAGACGTGGTACAGAACCGAGCGGAATGACGTTCTAAAATTCATGCAGCCGATCCCACTTAATGGGAAAATGCTTTGTTGTTGTTGTTGGTAAACAATTTTTGGAGATATAGTAAAATAGAGGTTCTAAATTTTAGTACTGCAAAGTTGGGAAAAAGAACCATTTTGGAGGCTTTGGTCTTATTGTGAGGTTTTCTTCATGAAGAACATTCACCTTGTGTTAAGGTACCATATTGTTAGGGAAATTATCTATTTAAATCATATTTTATAAACTATATTATGTGATTGTTGATGATTGAATTATTAAGTGTTGATTAACGTAACTTATACCATATTACTTAAGTTTGTGAAGTTGAAGTGCGTAGACTTTAGATCAAGGAGAATGTTAGCCGGACTCACCCCAAATGCTAGTGGGACTCGCACCAAAAGAGAGTCCAGTCGGACTTGCCCAGCACGCCTTGAGTCCCACTGTTAATATAACTTAAGAAAATAGTGATTTAAAATTATATTTCTCTCCACTTGCTGTTCTTCACCCTTTCATATTCCCGATGAAGCCAAAAGCATTGTAAAAGCCTTACTCTCTTCTCTCCAAAATTTACAGCTCTACTCTCTCACACTAAGGGGTGGTTTAGGAGTGAGGTGCTTAAAAAAAAGCATCCATGAAAAAAAGCTGTGAGGGTTTTAGGTGTTTGGTAAACTAAAAAAATGGCTTATTTTGGAAGCTGCTGTGAGAATAAGCTGAAATCAAAGGAAAAAGCTGAAGCTACTATTTGCAGCTTTGGAAAACTGGTTTTTTTTCAAAGCACATGGAGCTACAGTGCTCCTTTAATGAAAAGACCCACTATCAGATTGCTTTTTTTTTTTTTTTCCAAAAGCACTTTTACAAAAAAGTTTACCAAACACTCTACTGATTTATTTCATAGCCGCTTATTCTCACAACAGCTTTTTTTTCAAAGCACAGCAATACCAAACCAGCCCTAAGAATTGGTAACCATGGTTGTCTATTTTCAAATATCCATCAAACTATACTGGGCAAACCCAGGATTTGAATCTGTAAACAAAAGAAACAACCCAAGATTTGAATTTTGAAATTGAAAAAAGTCCGGGGTAAATCTACAATTTGAATTTGTCTCTCTCTCTTTTCCAAAATTATTAATTTTTTTGTGGGTTTCTCCCTACACCTTTTTTTCCTCAAAATTTTTCCATCGGAAATTTGTGAATAATTGTATATATATTTTGTGGATTATGAATTAGTGAGTTTGGTTGATGAGTTTTTAATGGAGTTTTTGTAACTTTGGAGCCACGACCCTTTCATGATTTGGAAAGATTTTTCAATGTAACCATTACACGAGGTGATACGCCACGTGTTTTTGTATAAATAGTGGGTTATGTGTATTAAAAAGTTAATAACATAAAAATTAAAATTTTTCCACTTACATAAAAACACGTGATGTACCATATTCTCATCACAATTAAAAATTTCTCCATAATTTGAGAGATGGAATGAGAACTTTTGTACAGATTTCCAGGTTTCATGGTTTGAAAAATCTCTCCCAACGTTGTCTTCTCTATGGTTCCACGTTCTCTCTCACATTTCTCAATATGCCAACTAATACAGCCATTTTCTTACCTAGGAAATAGGAAATGCCTGCCAGAATAAGTCCTCATTTAGTCTTTTTCAATTGCAGACTACATTGGGCTTCTCTATCGTACCACGTTCTTTGTCACATTTCTCGATACGTCAACTAATACAGCCATTTTCTTACCTTGGTCTTTTTTAATTGCATACAACGTTGGACTTCTCTATGCTACCACGTTCTCTCTCTCATGCATTCATTATCTCATCTTCTTCTGCTGAAAGAGCTTTTCTTCCCATCCATTTCTCATTATTTGCTCCGATCTTCTTATTACATACACTTGTCTCGTTTTGGTTTCTTCATCACAGCAACCTTCTTTAGCTTAATCTACTTTGCTTTACTTCCAAAAGTGAAAAATCAATTTCGTTGCTTTCCTGTGTTTCCTGATTTCATTTTCTGCCAATTTCAACTTCTTGTCGCTCGGTTTTATTTGAAAAGAAAAAAAAAAGGCAAACATATTTTGTTCAGCTTCATATACCAACCGATTGTGCTTCGGCGTTATGTAAGCAATGGAATATAGAGAGATAAGGTATATGGTACGTCTTTTGATTTTTCCTTGTTTTTATTCTCTTCCTCTGCTCTTTATCGGGTTTTTAGCTGTGTGTGCAGATTTGCCCGTTTTGTTTAACCCAAATTATTGCTTTACCAGTCAAGTTGAGATTCAAGTCGAACAACTGTCAAGTCTAAGTCGTATACATTGGCTATGATATTGATAGCGTGCTATGGTGAACATTGATGGGAAAGTCAACCCTTTGGAACCCTAAAATCTTTGATCTGAAGTCGACAAACTTCACGTTCACAAATGTAAGTTTTAAAGTTTATGCAAGTCACATAAAGCACCAACAATAACATATTTAAAATAGAAAACTGAGTTTTAGTTCTTAAAAAATATGACTTTTAAACTAAATTCTAGCTTAAGATTAAAATCTAATTTAGTTCCTTAACACATTTAATAACCTCATAATTATATTTTTCATGTTTTTTTTTTCCTAATGTTAATATTAACTACATTTAATTATATTCTTTTTTGAATAGAATACGATTGCTTTTATTCATAAACTCAAGGGAGTAACATATCTTGGTTGAGAACTTGCCAAACAACATATGGGGGTTCCTCAAACAAAACTACATCAGAACAATTATGCAAACTTAACTTGGCGAGGCCGAGTGCCACTCCATTATAAGAATGAGGAATAATATCCCAATAACATCTGGGGGTTCCACAAATAATATTCTGATATTTTATTTTGTTACAGTAATTTCATGTATATAATATCCCAATACACTTCATGTTATTCATTTAGGTATATTAATACATTTTGGTATGTCCTTTTCGATGGAGGCATTTAAGTACATTAATTCAATATAATATCATTTAGCACAAACATTTTCGTACAAACATTTAGGTACATTAATTCATTATAATATGTTTCGGTACAAACATTTAGGTCAGGGACGAAACTAGATTTCTTCTAGTGGGGGCAACCTGAAAAACAACTAAGAAGACCTTATTATAGTATGGCTTATACCAAATATGATATTGGAGATGATTTCATATGACAATGTATCGCAATTGCAATGTTACAAAAAAATTAGTAGTAGTTGAAAGTGGCAAATTGATGAGAAAAATATTAATACATGACAAGCGGATGAGGGGTTTTTTCTGTTTGAATGACAGAACAAAAGCACTTTTGCTCATATTATATTTGATATATAGTAGAAGTAGTATGGTATATATGCTTGATATTAGGCACATATATTTTCTTTAAAGATAACACATGGATATATATAATTGCAGTATGCAGCTTAACCAACAAATTACTTGAGGATGTGGAGGCCCTTTATTCGAGCCTGGCCTACAGCTTAACCTAGAAAGTGACATAACCAAGGTATACTAATTCATTTAATATATTTTAGTATAGTCATTTCCATACAGACATTTAAGTACCTTAATTTAATATGTTACATTTCGGTACAGACATTTAGGTACATCTTATATTTCAATACAAACATTTAGGTACATCAATTCCTTTTAGTATATTTTCGGTACACTTATACATTTACATGTTTCTTATGTGTCATTATTTTATTTTTTCAATGTTTTCTCATTTATGTACATTTATAAGGATATAATTGGAGGAAGTTAAACAAAATTAATAAATTCAAATATGTATATTAACAAATTCAAATATTTAATGGGAGATATTGAATATTATACACATTAAACATTATAACAAAAATAGAATATGAATTGGAATTTGAATTAAAAGCACACATCTAATAACTAAATAAGTATGTCACTCAGTACTACGGTCTGGTGGTACTTCTTCACTTGTAAGTGAGAAGTCTTAGGTTCGAATCTCGTGGATGGCGAATTCGATACCAAATTAGGTTGTTAATTGTGTGGCTTAGCCGAACTCCCCCCTCCCCTTAGTGTAAAATATATCGTTGTACGTACTAAAAAAAAACTAAATAAATATGTAATCTAATACCAAATTTTAATTAAATCTTTTTTTTTCCAAGTATTAAAGTTCAAATACCTCTATTTAAACTTTATGACAATCCAACCATTGTGTTGCCATTGTTCACAAAATGGAACGACGGTCAATTACAATTTTTTCGATCAAACATTTGAATTTGGAAAAACAATCATAGAAGTAAGTTCATAATAGAGGGCCGCTCATTGACATTGGAACATGCTACAATTATTAGTCCACGCCTCGCGACTTGCAGTGGTTTGACGATCGGGGGGAATCCCTGACATTTCCAAATTAGGGTTCACGAAATGCTTCGCCCCTCTCCCAAAGTCTTGCTCTCGTTCCCATATCTGTGCTTCATAAGGTTTTTTTTTTTGGGGACCGCATGCTTCACTTTGGTGGTGGTGACGACAGTGGGCTTCGCCAAGAAAAGGCCGGTTGATGGCTAAGCTCGCGGGTTCACCCTAAAGACAAAACATAGAGATTTGGATTCAATATCTTGAAGCACTACTACTTTCGTTTTGAAAAAGTGTATCACCCTAGAGGAAGGGCTTGATCTTCTCCTTGAATGGCACCTTGAAAACTCCTTCCCTTGATCCCCTTTGATGGTTGAGCAAGTTCTCCATATGTTACAAAAATACAAAACCTCTAAGTTTCAACACCGTAAGGTTGATGTGAAGAATAGAATTATTTACAACTGAATTGGTTGCTAGCTAATTCACTTGTAAGTCCGGCCTTGGTAGTAAGCTTTAAGATGAGGACGGCTATAACCATATCCAAAACCATAACCAAATATTATTTACGGTTTTTTCCCATAACCAAAATATACCCGAATTTTCATACCCAAATCTAATACATTCGGGCGGTTATCCATGGTTATTGGTTTTAACGATTATAATTGTCATCCCTAGGAAGGAGGATGGCTCCGGTGAAAATTATATAATTTAAAGAAAGTATTGAGTGCAAGTTAAAAATTGGTATATAATGAAAGGCATATGGGAACTAAATAATTAATATTTTAACACATTAATTATTGAGCTTTAACTAGTGGTAGAGTTCACATGTCAACTAATGAATGGGGAAGGCAAGTTGGGAAAGCTAAAAGGAGAAGGTAGCTTTTCTATTTTTTTAAAAAGGGGTCGGATAATGGCTTCGTCATGGCATTTCATTCTTTCGGGGTCAGAAAGACTCACAGAGGCATTTCAACAATTTCCTGACCATCATCATGTTATTCACCAGTACTAGGAATCGAACCCATGACGTGTTGTGTGGATTACAAACGTGAAATTCGTCTCTAACCACTGAATCACTTCGTGATGATTAAATTTTTAATTAATTATGTATACACCAACCTTTTACTATGGACACCCTTCAGTTTCATTTAATGAAAAATAATACATACACTCATATGTACAATTACTATAAAAGACTTACTAGACTTTTTAATATAATCTTAGGAGGTGTAGTCAATTAAGTTTCTAATCAGGGTGTAGTCAATAGAGTGTTAAAAGACTTTGAAATCATGCTGTAGTCAAAGTAGGATTTAACAGGATTTTAAAAAAAATCATCTAAATCAAAATGTAGTCAATTAGGATTAAAAAGAGTCCATGCAAATCTGCAGGTGTTCACAATGTCATAGATTTTGTAAGGTTTCATTTTTTTAATTTTTTAATTTTTGATAAAGAAGAAATTTATTAAAGCTTAAAACCTTTAATACAACCGTTTTCAATACAAAAAAAATTAAAGGCCTCTATAGCCAAAAACGGAAGACAATAATCCCAAAAATAAAGGTTGTCAACACTGAGGCCCAAATGAGCTAATGTGTCCATCACAAAATTAGACTCCCTATAAATATGCTTCCAACTGATGTGTTGAAACTTAGAAGCCAACTATTTTATATCCTCTATGATAGGTTTAAGATGCTAAGGAGGCATCCAAACATCTTGCACCATCTGGACGACTTGCTTAGAATCCCCTTTCACCATTAGCATCTTCACACATTTGCACTTGGCAAACAAAAGCCCTTCCTTTAAAGCAATAGCCTTTGCAATGAGTTGCGCTTGGCTTCATTGAGTAACAGATTTAGTAGGATTTGAGAGTGAATTTCATGTATAAAAAAGGTTAAAAAGAATCTCATCTCCACCACGCCTCACTCAAGCTGACTCTTGCTTCACCAAGTTGTTCCATCTGGAGAAGGGGACGCAACTCTTGAGCATGAACCAATTGCAGCTCCATTTGGTTAGATTTATGACCTAGACACATTTATCATCATTTGATCTATTAGATGGCCAAGATTTAACGCTGCATAAGTCTATTAAATTATTAAAAATTTGTTATACGAATCTTCTCAAACCTTTCAAAATCCATATATATTTGATAGAAGTCCATAATCATATGAAATCCAATAACTTAAAAATCAATTGAAATCCTAATTTGACTACACCCAACTTAATTCCTATATAGCCAAATTGAACAGCCACTAGGATTTTTATACAAAGAAATGTGTTCATCAAGTACAACGTTGAGTTCAACTTCACTCACCTTTTGTATATTGGATTTGGATCCTCTCCTAAGCCCAGCATCCTGAGCCTGTTGAACAAATCATATGAACCGTTATATTTTGATCCAACAACTACAATTATTATAACTTTTAGAGGGGCCTTCTATTTGTAGCCGTTGAATCAAACTCCAATGGCCCATGTGATTTGCTCAGCAGGCTCAGGATGCTGAGCTCAGGAGAGGATCTAAATCCTTGTCTATCTCTTCAACGTTGATTTCAACTTTTAGTTTTAAAAACCTATTGAAGCTAACTTAAAAAAGGAATTAAAACAATAGACAGAGAGATGTAAACACATGTTACGAGCTGGGAGCGAATTAGGTGCAAAAAGTTATTGCTAATTATTGTTGGGATTAACCATTCAATACTACGGTCTGGTGGTATTCTTCTTCACATGGAAATAAGAGATCTTAGGCTCGAATTTCGTGGATAACGAATTTGATAACAAATTAGGCTACCTATTGTGTGGCTTAGTCGAACTCCCACTCCTCCTAGTGTAAAAATATCGATGTACAAAAAAAAATGTTATAGAATTCGGGTTTAAATACATGAAATAAAATAATAAGAAATACGGGTGTGCAAAAAAAGCAAAGTGGGTGTCCAAGAGAGATGGAAAACGGGTTAAACCTCACAATAGACTATCAATAATGTGACTCAATTTCTCTTTTGGAAAGAATCGAACCTAAGACTTCTTACTTATAAGTGAAGAAAAATAACACTAGACCGTAATACTAAGTGGTTGTTAAAAGCTTATTTAAAGAGCCTATTTGAGATGATCTAGCGACACACTTAACAATCTCTTTTCCCTCTATAATTGGCTAAGAGAATTCAATGAGCCTCTTTTGGACTTAATGAACTTAAGTTGTCTCACAACTTAAATTCTCGCCATTTAAGAGAGATTTTTCAGTGTACCTGAAATACGGGGTAATACACTATGTGTCATTATATAAATAGTAAGATACCTGTGTTAAAAAATTAACAACTTAAAAAATAACATTTCTCACCACTTATATAACAAGTCGTGGTGTACCATCCGTGTTCCAGACACAATGAAAAATTTCTCACATTTAGGTCTTGGTCAATGAACCTTGAAGTCCGTGGCTAATTTCAAATCCAAATGAATTCTCAATGTCCGGAAGATTAATTGACTTTTAATTCAATCTCTTCAGAATTAACTATTTAATGGATCCCTAACAAAAACTTCAACCGGTGCTGCGCCTGCGGCAACACCTTGTTATAGAGAGAAAACACATCAATAATGAACTCGAAGAGGTTCGATCATATGGAATACCTAACCTTATAAATGTAAGAAATAAGAAACAACATTCGAACAGACAAAACAAGCCTTGAAGAACCTAAGCAATCATCCATCGACAACATCTCAATCCACATAGGAGGATCATGAAAAGCACAAACCTCCAGGTCCGTATTGTAGCTCGAGCTAGCTAAATGAACAGCAACAAAATTATTTTGTCAAAAAGTATGAACCAACTGATGACGCTCCAGCTGATCCTTCATATTTCAGTAGCTACTCAAAATTGTAAAATGAGGATGAAAATCATTTGCCATATTTTGCTTAATCAAGTTGACACCACCCACTGAATTCATCTTAATAATAAGCCTATATACGCCTTTGTTAAAGCAAGCTTAAGGTCAAAATAAAAACTCTACACCTCTACCTCCATAACTTGTCCCTGCCCCAAATTGGCAGAAAATCTCCCTAACCAATCACCACAATGATCTCTAAGAACTCAACCATCCCCAATTTGCCTAGAAGTCATTCTTCTTAACCATCAATATTAATCTTGCACCATCCTAGTTGGCTTTTTTGAAGACACCTTCACCCATTCAGCAG